TATCTTTCTATATATATATATATATATATATATATATATTTATGTTAGATATAGCTGGCCATATGGCTAAACCAAATTGGTTGAACCATTTATGAGGAAACCAATGTATACCCTTGGGGTAAAAAAGACTAAAAAAAATTCAAAATTCCTTTTTTTAAATTGAGTTTTTTTTTGTGAGGAAACACATGGATATATTGTATTTTATACATACGCAAATTTACAATAAACTTTAATAGTAATAAAAGAAAGTAGAAATAACTAATTAACTATTCAGAAGAAAACCTGGTTTACGAATTTGATCCTCTTCAATCTGAACCAAAAAGAATCAGGAAGAGTAAACACAGATATTCATGTTCTCGATGCGAATATTTTGCATCAACAACATGGCGTCTAAAGATCCACGAAGAAATTAAACACATAGGAGTAAGATATCCTTGCCTTGAATGTGAGCATGCTGCAACTACAGCAAGTGATCTAACACGACATGTTAGAAATAAACATAAAGGAGTGAGATATGCTTGTTCTCAATGCAATTATGCTGCAACTACATCAGGTACTTTGAAGAAACATTTAGAAAATAAACATGAAGGAGTAAGATATCCATGTTTGCAATGTGAGTATGCTGCAACTACAGCAGCTGCTCTAAAAAAAACATGTTGAAAGTATACACAAAGGAGTGCGATATCCTTGTTCTCAATGCGACTATGCCGCAACTAAAGCAACCCATCTGAAAAGACATGTAGAATATAAACATGAAGGAGTGAGATATCCCTGTTATCAATGCGACTATGCTCCAACTCGAGCATCTCATCTGAAAAGACATATTGAAAGTAAACATGAATGAGTAAGATATCCTTGCCCTGAATGTGAGCATGCTGCAACTACAGCAAGTGATCTAACACGACATGTTAGAAATAAACATGAAGGAATGAGATATACATGTTCTCAGTGATTATGTTGCATCTCAAGCAGGTGCTCTGAAAATTCATGTTGAAAGTAAACACAAAGGAGTAAGATGTCCTTGTTCTCAATGCGACTATGCCTCAACTCGAGCAACGATCATCTGAAAATTCATGTTGAAAGAAAACATGAAGGAGATAGATATCCTTGTCCTGAATGTGAGCATGCTGCAACTACAGCAAGTGCTCTAAGACGACATGTTAGAAATACACGTGAAGGAGTGATTTATACATGTTCTCAATGTGATTATGTTGCATCTCAAGTAGATAACCTTAAGATACATGTTGAAATTGAACACAAATTAGTGAAATATCCATGTTCGCATTGTGAGTATGCCGCAGCTACAGCAAGAGATCTGAAGAGACGTGTTGAAAGTAAACATAAAGGATTAAGATTTCCTTGCACTCAATGTGAGAATGCCGCAACTACAGCAGGAAAATTGAAGATTCATGTTGAAATTAAGCATGAAGGAGTGAGACATTCTTGTTCTCAATGTAATAATATTGCATTTGACAGAAGTATTCTGAAAAAAAACATATTAAATATAAGCATACTATAAACTTAATAGAAACTCAAGTATAAAGAACCCAATAAAGGCAACTTTACAAAGAGAAACTCAATATAACAAGCCAGATGGAATCGATTAAAGCACTAACTTTGCACAAACATTTATTTTACATTATTATTAAAATACAAACTGAGGATCAACCGAAGTTAATCCTGGAATCATAGATGGAGCTAATTCTCCTCTCGGAGCTACTGGAGCTGTGATCGACCGCTCTCTTCATTGCGCCTCTGATAATTAATAGTGTTTGTAGTTTCAACTATTTACTGTTAAGTTCAAAATGAGGGGGAGAGGGAGTTGTAGCCGGATTTGCAAATATTTGCTAATATTTAGAAATCTGCTATCCTGCATTAGCTTTTCGATTAGATGGCTATAAAATAATATTAGAAACTTAACGCCCATTTTGATTATAAATTGTAAGTTTTGCTTTATCTGCAGTATTTTCACTTAAAAAATTATCAAGCAATAACACAAGCATTTCATTCTGTTTATCATGTTTATACCTGTGGTCATTTGAGGTCCCTCATAAAATGCGGACCTGATTGGTTCAGCCTTTATTGAGTACAAACAAACAAACAAGCAAAGTTTGTCTATACAGGGTGAGTCTAAAAAACGGGATTATCGATGCTTCAGAGAAAATTTAACCATTTTTGTTTGCTTTGGAAAAAAATGTAAGCTGATTAATTGCAATCTTTAAATCATAAGAATTCTAATGTATAGTCTCTAATAACATTTACTCCATATTTCCACTTAACGTTTATTCCTGATTTTTGTTATATCTCATTTAATTTTTGATGAATCATTAGGAAATTTTGAACAACAATAAAATTAAGATTTTTCCAACAATTTTTAAAAATATTAACTTCAAAAAAATTGGTTTGCTAATTTTTTTTATCAGTATTCGAAAAATATTTTTTTTATTACATTTAATTTATGCCTAAAATTCAAAGCATTTTAAAATCCAAAACATCGTTAATCCTGATTTTTTATTCATCCTCTTTGCTCAAATATATATTTTTGTAAATTTATTTGTTAATCCATGGGTACCCTTTGGGTAAAGTAGGCTAAAAAAATTAAAATTTCTTTTTTAAATTAAAATTTTTTTTTCAAAATTCGATTTTTTAAAAATTCCACGGACAACGCCAGGCACTTAAGCTAGTCTATAAAATTTACCAGCTCCAGTAGTAACGGGTTAAATACAATCAATATTATTTGTTTGTCCAGTTCTCAAACTTGGGTTGAATGAACTAGGCTATGGTTCTACATCCTTGGTGGGTTTACAATACAACTTAAGAGATTATCTAAACTCTGCAATGAATTGTTTGTTATTCATATTTTAACCTTGAAATATTTTTTATTCACTTTTGTTAAAATATTCATTTCACAAAAATCAGATATTTTTAGCTGCTTTTAAAATCAATTTAATCCAAAGAAATTTATGTTTTGAACAATTCTGTATATTGCATCGTTGTCTTTATACACTTTATACTAAAATCTTTTTTGTTATTATAAAAACCAGTGCTAAGGATCCATTTGATTTTGATGCAGATCCGGATCCGAATCCTGGATCTGCATTGAAAAAAATGGAAAAATATGCCCCTTGGATCCGGATCCGTGGATCGGCATATTTTTGCGGATCTGGATCCTGATCCCAGGAAGTCTAAATATTGCGGATCCTTATAGCACTAATTAAAACATTATTGATGGTCTTTTGATATTTTAAGTTGTAAATTTTTGTATTTTAAACTGGTATTTTTTCTTCAGAAAGAATGGCAGAGTCTATCAAAGAAGAATTAAATATAGAAGAGTTTGAGATAAAAGAACAGATAGTTTCATCAAGGAAGAAATCCTCCTCTACTGTAGAGGATACATGTACTGTTAATCAATATATAGATGGAAATTACAGGAATATAAATTAAGAACCTATAAAAAAATTATCATATCATCATTTAAAAAATTATTTATGAAATAAATAATAAAAAAAACTCAGAAAAGCTTCAAAGAATATTTTTTCATGGATGTAAAACAGTTGGCGGTTATGATTAGAAAATATATTGTCACATTGTGTAAACCTGTAAATTTTATGTTTAGATTATTAGATACCGAAATACAGGAAACTTAACATCTATATATAAACTTGGCTTGTCTGTCTGTTTGTTTTTTGTTTTTGTTTTTTGTTTGTTTGTTTGTTTGTAACCAATAAAGGTAAAAACGGCTGAACCGATCGGGCCCAAATTTTTGTGGGACATCACGTGACCACAGGGAAGGTTTATGAATGATCAAAATTTCAAATATTTGTCTCCATCAAAATTCGATCTTCATTAAATTTTTTAAAATTTTGAAAATCCACGAAATTTTTTGTGAAAATCCGCGAATTATTTTTGTTTTGTTTTACGATGTACACAAAGAGAACATGTTCACAATTAATTTAGAAGATGGGCGCGGAAGCGCCCTCTAAGGCTAGTATATATATATTTATGATGTTTTAAATACTGGAATACAGGATACTGTATCTTTATATGTTTAGATATATTCATGTGTAGACTCCTAGAAATCCAAGTACAGGGTGTCCCAAAAAACATGCGAATTCAGTGACGAATTCAATATCGTCTTTGTTATGAATTAGCATTGTAATACCTAAGTTCAAAAGCCAATAATATTATTATGTCTGCTAGAGTTTATTTTATGGGGGGAGTTTTTGTTCCCCCCCTTTCTTCCCTATCTCAACTGTTTTTGTTTGTTTGTTTGTTTGTTAGAAAGCAAATGGTTTACATGCACAATTAAGTTAAATGTGCCTGTGTACACTGCACAATTAAGTTAAATGTGTCTTTGATCACTGCACAATTAAGTTAAATGTGTTTGTGTACACTGCACTATTAAGTTAATTGTGTCTGTGTTCACTGCACAATTAAGTTAAATGTGTCTGTGTACACTGCACAATTAAGTTAATGTGTCTGTGTAAACTGAACAATTAAGTTAAATATGTCTGTGTACACTGCACAATTAATTTAAATGTGCCTATGTACACTGCACAATTAAGTTAAATGTGTCTGTGTTCACTGCACAATTAAGTTAAATGTGTCTGTGTACACTGCACAATTAAGTTAAATGTGTCTGTGTACACTGCACGATTAAGTTAAATGTGTCTGTGTTCACTGCACAATTAAGTTAAATGTGTATGTGTTCACTGCACAATTAAGTTAAATGTGTCTGTGTACACTGCACAATTAAGTTAAATGTGTCTGTGTTCACTGCACAATTAAGTTAAATGTGTCTGTGTTCACTGCACAATTAAGTTAAATGTGTCTGTGTACACTGCACAATTAAGTTAAATGTGTCTGTGTTCACTGCACAATTAAGTTAAATGTGTCTGTGTTCACTGCACAATTAAGTTAAATGTGTCTGTGTACACTGCACAATTAAGTTAAATGTGTCTGTGTACACTGCACAATTGCTGTGTTTTGCTGGGCTTCTAACAGTATAACAGTCGTCTTTGCATTCCACTGTTGAATGGGTCGCACTGTAAGATGATTACAAATTATCATATTTCTTTTAATTTAGTTGAGTTAACTTTTATCCCATACCACTTTCACCTTGAAATTATTTCACTTTTGAAAGTGTAATCTAACGGATTTTTGTTTTTGTTTTGTTTTTTGAATGCTGGAAGGAAGTATAGGAAGGTTCAAAGCCTTTAACCCTTTAACCCTATTCCTGCTGAGGGGGGGGGGGTCAATTGTACGCCCCACTGCATTTTTATTTTACATAACTCAAAAAGTATTGGTCTGAGGCTGTTGACATTTTCTGACTTTTCCTAAATACCCAAAGCCCTCCCTTTAGGCCTAAAACCAGGCTTTTATACTAACTGCATGAGTCCTCAGGCACACTGCCTAAAAAACTGCTTTTTCCTGTAACAAACTAAATCTTTGTTTTGACACACTTTCAGTTAAATTTTCTGAATTACACATCAGGTTATTTAAAATTTTGAAAAACTTTTTGCATATTTGAAATAGCATGGTCAAAGGGCCTTTAAAAAATGTATAATTTATCTGTTTTTGGACAAATTTAGTTTGCAAACATTTTCACTGTAAAACTGGATTTTGCCAAAAAATTCATTTTTTGCACAAATTTGTTTCCAGATTTTAAAAGTAGAGCACAAGAGCTTTCTAATGATGTATCATTTGTCATATTTGGACATAAAACATGGGGTTAAGAGGGGGGGGGGTCAAATTACCCCCCCCCCTTGCGTATCCTGGTTTTCAAGTACCCCAGCCATAGAGAATAGAATATATATTAGAGGGGAATTTAGAGAATCTCTCGGTATGAATTTTTTCAGCCCCTTTCAGCCTGAAAGGGAGTTCAAAGTGTACAAATCATGCAAATGTTCACAAATTATATGCAGTAGAGTACATCAATACAGTATGTTCCCTACACTATTAATTTCAATTTCGAATTTATTAAAGCTGTTAAATAAACTTTATAATGAATTAGGTGAATAAAAAACATCATTTGATTAACAGTTAAAACGGAAAATCATCGTTTGTTAAGTAAAAGGCATAGTTCTATGTGAAATGATCATTGGTCAATTATGAAACCAGCCTATTTCATAATTTAGATTTCTTTTAACATTAATTTTAGATTTTCTATATAATGATATTCCAGGGCCCCAAAGGTCATATAGCATAAATATGTGAAGTACACCTGCAGTATGATAAACCCCATGGTTTAAAGAAAATCTTACATTTCATAATTAATATTTATTTAGTCTTTTTACATACAATAAAAATAAAAATAACAGATTATACCCAGACATTGCATTTTTCAAAATGTTAAAAATCATTAAACTTTGGTATTCAAAATTTTGTTTAAATTTTCAAAGTCATTAATACTTAGATAGATACTTTATATGATAAAAAAGATTGAAATGAGCAAACGACATTTTAAAAAAGGCAGCATAAAATAACAATAATGGCGTTCAAAATCACAATTTATTGCATAGTAATTTCATTTTAGTATCATTTACGATTGCAGGGATGATAATATTACATTTAAGCTCATTTTCTCTAAATTTTAAGGATTTTTGTTTGTAGTCAATCAATCAATCTATTTTTGCGGAATCTTTTGAATCTTTTGGCGGATTATTGATGTAGAGAAGGAAGACGACAGCTAGAGTTACAATATTCATAAAGCACTGAATAACCAGCCTGTCAGCTCCAGCACTTTCTAAACATATTTAGATTTGTTTAAAACATTTATCAAACAAATTCTTGTTATTTTTTCCTTCAAGTTTTCAAGTGACTACCCATATGCTCAAAACATTTCCATTGTTCTACTAAGTTTCCCAATTATAATTTGAGGCAAACAAGTCAAGGGGTTTCTGAGTTATGATCAGACAAACAAACAGATATTACTACTTTAAATATATGAAAGGAAACCTGTTAGCATCCCCGTGATAGGTATATTATCTGCTCCCCCGTACATATCCTCAAGTACAGGGTGAGGAACTCCAAACATAAATCTAAACAGTAAATCAATCAATCAACTTATCAGTAAAATCATAGTTTAATCCTAAATCAATGCAAATCAGAACTTTTCATGCCTAGACATGAAGCACCCCAACCAGGAATTTACCTGTGCATTAAGCACATACCCCCAACTGGAATATATTTACCTGGGCATGAAGCCCCCTTCAAGAATATACTTGGACATGAAGTGTATACCTCCACAAGGAATATACAAACATATACCCCACCAGGAATATATTTACCCTGGTATGAAGCCTATATATCCCCGCCAGGAATATATTTACCTGGGCATGAAGCGTATACCCCCACCAGGAATTGACTCAGTATAAAAATGATTGTAAAGACCGAATCTGCTGTACCAGGGCAATGCACTTTCCACGTGAAGACTTGATTCTACCCTGCAATGTTTAAATTAAATTAGAATTTTGATCAGTGTCATTGAAATCTAAATATTTGATCATAATTGGAATGAAAGTGATTAAAATACTATATAAGTCAAAAAAACTAGTTAAAAACGTTTAAAATTTTGACAGTTTCTGTTTTTAACGTCTGCAATCCTTTGAGAAATAAAATAATAAGTAATAAATGATAATAAACTATGATAAAAAATCTCAATATTGCATGTAAAAATTTAACCAATCAGAGTTTTGTATAAGAAGCCGAAAAATTTGAAATTTTGCGCGCCATTTAAGATTAACAGAAACGTTTTTTTATTATTATTTTTTACTTTATCCAAGAAAGAACGGTTTAAGAAGAAAATGAAAAGTGTGTCCATTGGATACTCGAGATTAAGTAATTGGGATTATGGATATCTCATCTTAAAGTTTTCAGCTCAGATTTGATGGACTTTTAGTACTTAGTGTTAATCTGAGCCCACAATTTGAAAACTGACCGAAGCTATCCTTGAGTATTTTATAAGACATGAGGTTTGGGATAAGTTGCATCTAAGGAGGAGGGGGGCCAATTTGACACTTAGTGACCCCAAATTTTGTACAAGCTGCGTTTGGTCCTAATAATTGAGATAGAAGGCTGAAAATTTGCATACTGCTCTAATTGCGGTCATCTACATACACATATATGTCTTATTTTTATTGATTTCATATTTTAACCTTTGCAGTGGTCATTGATATCTGGAGGTCAAATGCCTCTAGGATCATCTGAGGTCAAAAAGGGTATCAGAATGGAATCGGAACACCCAAATACCAATGATTTGATACCTCACATGACTTATTTTTATTAATTTCATATTTTGACTCCAGAGTATAAGCACGTTTTAAAGGTCAACAACCTCCAGGATCATCTAAGGTCAGAAAGTAGTATCAGAATGGAATTGGAACACCAAAAACCTATGATTTGATAGCTTACATGACTTATTTTCAATAATATAATATTTTGACCAGTTTTGGAGGTTATTATCAAAGGGCCGGGAGGTCAAAACGGAGGTCGGCTATTGATTAGTTATAATAATTAAATTAGAGTGAAAAACATGGTATTTTCCCGTATTTTCTGAACTCGTGGAGGTCAAAATGGAGGTCAATGACCTTCAATCTCAAATTTTCGTGTTTTATGTACGGTAATAACCAGAAAACTCTGAAATAAGAAGTCGACTTTAAAACTCAAGTTATGACTTTAAATAGTTAATTGAGCACGAGACATAGCAATAGTGCAGTGTAAAACCCATTTCACTTAATAAGTGAATGAATAATTTATTAGTAATGCTATATTTGCTTTGTAACAGCATCAAATGCATTTCAGTATTCCTTAAATGTCGTCTTCCTATTTTACAGTTTTCTGGTGAACACTGTAGGTTATCATAATAAGAGTCTGCACCCAAAATTTCAGTCTCAATTTTTAGGACCAAACACAGCCTGTACAAAATTTGGTGTCACAAAATGTCGAATTGTTCCTCCCCTTTTCCATATAGAGTTGGGTTTCCATGGTTAGAATTTGCAAATTTCGGGATTTCTTCGAATATGATTCAACATTGAGACTAATTCTACACTAAAACCAACCAAGGGTAGTATTATTTTGACCGGGCCTAACTCCATAAGTCGAGTCTTAGGGCTCCATAAGTCGAGTCTTAGGGCTGGCGGTTGACGATCGCGTGACACAACCTGTCGTCAGATGATTTTTTCAGTTGGTCTAAATTGTAGCCTAAAATATGGATCGCACGAATTAAAACCCGTGTCTAAACTTTAAAATCGTGGGCTAATTCATTAAAAATAATGTCAAAGTAAAATAGAAAAAAGTAAGATCAATAAATAAATAAACGAATGAATGAATGAATAAATTACTTTGATATAAAAGATTTGTAATGCTGTCTCCACTCCAGATTTAGCATCAGTTTTTCATCCTGAAATAAAATAAAACATGCTAAAATTAAATGAAATATCCTAAACCAAGATTAAATATCCTAAGATAAAATGAAGAGATAATTTGGCGCTGCGGCTATGCCAGGTCATTTGATGTGGCTAAATGAGCTTATACAGTGAGCACAATAAATACTGTCGAATATGATCGAAGACGTCATTTTAGCAATTAATGTACATTTAATGTCGTTTCAAATAATGGTAACGGTTCAGTTGCTTAAAAATCATATCATAAAGTGGACTCGGTCTACATGTACTGTGCAGTGTCCAAAGTTGGTCTGCATGTACTGTGCAGTGTGCAAAATTGGTCTGCATGTACTGTGCAGTGGTCTGCATGTACTGTTCAGTGTACTACATGTACTGTGCAGTGGTCTGCATGTACTGTGCAGTGGTCTGCATGTACTGTGCAGTGTGCAAAATTTGTTTGCATGTACTGTGCTGTGGTCTGCTTGTACTGTTCAGGGTACTACATGTACTGTGAAGTGTACTGCATGTACTGTGCAGTGGTCTGCACGTACTGTGCAGTGGTCTGCATGTACTGTGCAGTGGTCTGAATGTACTGTGCAGTGTACTGCATGTACTATGCAGTGGTCTGAATGTACTGTGCAGTGGTCTACATGTACTGTGCAGTGGTCTGCATGTACTGTGCAGTGTACTGCATGTCCTGTGCACTGTGTAGTGTACTGCATGTCCTGTGCACTGTGCAGTGTACGGCATGTACTGTGCAGTGTAATGCATGTACTGTATAGTGTACTGCATGCTCTGTGCAGTTTAATGCATGTACTGTGCAGTGTACTGCATTTACTGTGCAGTGTAATGCATGTCCTGTGCAGTTTACTGCATTTACAGTGCAGTGTACTGCTTTTAATACCATGTTTGCGTAATTTAATGTGACCCTCCATGCAAAGATGTCATTGTCTGATTCACAACGGTACCCTTAAAAGCGTTGTCTGAATAAATATGAATTAAACATCAATGTTTATGATTTTGAAAACAAATTATTTTTAATTGTGTGTTCCCTTTAAAAACGGACTAGTGCATTTCTCCCGCAGGAAAATATATAGGAATGAACTTGACCCAGATTTGTCTTGTATTGCTAGCAAAAATGAATTTAAATATAAACTTAAGCAACATTTTCTGGATAGATTATCGAACTTTGAATGCAATCGGCTATTTTGCTATACCTGTTCAACTCTAGTTTCTTAGATTAAATTGGGGTTTTCATGGACTGCAATATGATCTGTTCATATTTTTTAATACTTGATACATATAATGAATATCATATATATGTATCCTTGTCAGAAGAAATATTCAGCTTATTCTTGATCTCTTATCTTGATTAGAATAACATGTAGTAATAATATTTCTTGATCAAGAACAATCTTCTACATTATTGAGCCTAAAACTTTTTGTATTTGTGACTGTAAAGATTGACGCCATGTTTCCGCCTCCTGTTTTCCAACCGCCACCGCCGCTACTCTTCGCCATTTTTGTGCTCCATAAAGGCACATTGCACAATGTTTGAATCTAATCATTATTTTTCTGAACCAGGGGAGCTCGTGTGTAAACAGCCTGAGCTATCTTGTAGCTCCCCGGCCACAAAATATATATATGTAATTGTATAGTCATTTTTATTAATATGAATATTGTTAACTTGTGGCCTAATAAATGATTTGATTTGATTTGATTTGATTTGATATCCCAATTACACAGTTTTAAACCTAAAAAATCGACAATATCTTCCTCATAATTGATCAGACAAAGGTTTTAAGGGTACCGTAGAAAATCAGGCATTGTCATCATCATAAAGATTTCGAAATCTGAAATTGTTAATAACTGGCTCAATTCTGAAAATGTTCAGAACACGTTTTCCGAGTTTTACAATGAACCAATTAAAAAATACTTAGACACGCTTTTAATGTAAATTGAAGACGACATAAACATGAACTTTATAGTTTTTACTTGTTATCACAATTTTGGACGACCATTGTTTAATTTTATTCAACTCTTTATTTTTAGGGAGATTAGTTTTCCTTGTTCGTAGGTAGATTAGTTTCTTTATTCTTAGGTAGTTTAGTTTCTTTATTCTTTGGTAGATTAGTGTTTTTATTCTTGGGTAGATTAGTGTCTTTATTCTTAGGTAGATCAGTTTCTTTATTTTTAGGTAGATTAATTTCTTTATTCTTAGGTAGATTAGTTTCTTTATTATTAGGTAGATCAGTTTCTTTATTCTTAGGTAGATTAGTTTCTTAGTTTCTTAGATAGATTAGATTCTTTATTCTTAGGTAGATTAGTTTCTTTATTCTTAGGTAGATTAGTTTCTTTATTCTTAGGTAGATTGTTTCTTAGTTTCTTAGGTAGATTAATTTCTTTATTCTTAGGTAGATTAGTTTCTATATTATTAGGTAGATCAGTTTCTTTATTCTTATGTATATTAGTTTCTTAGTTTCTTAGGTAGATTAGTTTCTTAGTTTCTTGGGTAGATTAGTTTCTTTATTCTTAAGTAGATTAGTTTCTTTATTCTTAGGTAGATTGTTTTTTAGTTTCTTAGGTAGATCAGTTTCTTTATTCATTAGTTTCTTAGTTTCTTAGGTAGATTAGTTTCTTAGTTTCTTAGGTAGATTAGTTTCTTTATTCTTAGGTAGATTGTTTCTTAGTTTCTTAGGTAGATTAGTTTCTTTATTCTTAGGTATATTTATAGTTTCTTTATTCTTAGGTTGATTATTTTCTTAGTTTCTTAAGTAGATTAGTTTCTTAGTTTCTTAGGTAGATTAGTTTCTTTATTCTTAGGTAGATTGTTTCTTAGTTTCTTAGGTAGATCAGTTTCTTTATTCTTAGGTAGATTAATTTCTTAGTTTCTTAGGTAGATTAGTTTCTTAGTTTCTTAGGTAGATTAGTTTCTTTATTCTAAGGTATATTTATAGTTTCTTTATTCTTAGGTAGATTGTTTTCCTAGTTTCTTAGGTAGATTNAATTATTAATATTTTGGCGGGAAATATATAATTAATAATATTTTGGCATGAAATATATAATTAATAATATTTTGGCGGGAAATATATAATTAATAATATTTTGGCGGGAAATATATAATTAATAATATTTTGGCGGGAAATATATAATTAATAATATTTTGGCGGAAATATATAATTGATAATAATTTGGCGGGAAATAAATAATTAACTATTAATTAACCTTCAGTGCTACGGCTCGGTGGTCAAACGGGTAAACCGTGTAGTTACTCACTGCATCTTCTAGAATAACAAGAATAAAAAATAGATACAGTGAATCCCAGATATATGAATATGTATAGCAAGAGTTTTCTTATAATGCCGTATTCTCAACATATCTAAAATTAAATGCCGCGGAAAAAAAGAGTTCAATATATTGATTGCTGTCCTTCATATTTCAGGGCTATTGATATTAATTTACCTTGACTTAAAAAAAGCAGGTTCTTAAGAATTATCAAAAAACTTTTGACTCTACAATGACATTTGGATATATTTTCACAAATCGTTTTTAACCCTTTCAACCTGCAAACATCTCATTCTCAGCAGGAACTCCTTTTTGTGCAGATCAATGAGTAAGCTTTACAGTTGTCGTAAATTTAAAAATAATCTTCAAGACGACATTTCATGTACTCTTGCTATGTATTCTTATATGTGGGATTTGCTGTACAATAAAAGATGGGCTTGTTCGGCATTCTTTAATTTGTCCATTCATTGATTGTGAATGACCCATTTAGTTATTTTTTTCCAATTTTTCAAAAATTATTTTGTTTGTTCGCAAAATTATCGTTCATTTTACATTTATTTCGGTAGTTTTCTCAATGAACAATAATTCAATAAAATTGTTCGTTTAGTCAAATCGATCGTTGTTTCAGAAAAACAACTAGTTTTTTAAAAAGTTTTTTTTTAAATTGTTCATTCAATAATAAACCATCGTAAAAAATTGTTTGTTCAGTAAAAAAATGATCGTTTAATGAAGATCGTTCGCACGATTTCAAATTTATTTTTGTTCGTTTAAAAACCGATTCAAGTCGTTTGTTCATCATTCATTATTTTTCTGAGCGACACCATCGTTCACTAAAATTTAGAACGTTCTCGAAAAAGTTGTGCGTTCTCAAAAACGATGCCCATCTCTAGATAAAATGTGTGATATGAAGACGACATTTAAGAAATCTTTTGCGTATTTGATGCTATAGCAAATAGTCTTACCGCTAGCAACTTGACAATCAATCAAATTGAATGTGTTTTCTTTTTGTCTAACATTTTAGCATTAAACTTGAATTCCCACGAAACATGACAGTTGGTGAATAGTTTTAAATGTCGTCTTCCATTCAGTGTATTAGATAGTAAAGGCTTTATGCAGTTTATTTCGTTTAAAAAATCTTTTGCTCAAATATATTTTACTTTGAAATTAATTTTACGATAACATGACTCCTATAAAATATTTTTATTATTGTATTTGGTATTAAACAATTAAACAAGTTATAGAAGAAGACATTCTAAACTATTTACCAACTGTAATGTATCGTGGGACACCCTGTATATTGAGTTTAATCCATAATAAATAGTAAATAAATGTTCAAAAAAGTCTAACCTACAAAAAGTCTCCATTTTGTCCAATTTTCAATTTTATTCTTGCCGTCATTCTCACTACTCCGTGCAGAGACATATTTTTCACTAATACATAAGTTTTTTTAATTTCAGTTCAAAAAAATGTATCAGCATGATAAACTTAATTTCACTTTACTCTTTCATTTATATCTATAGATTCATCAATGGAGATATTTATTATTTAATTCAAAATTAGATTTTCGTTTTATCAAATATTGTATAAAATGTAACCAAATTCTGTATATCTCTGGCAGCCCACATTTCGGAAATGACAGGACTAATTATCGTTTCATCAATCATATTTGTAAAAATAGATGGATATATGAATGCCCGTAAAGACGATTGTAAAGTCGTCAGATTGATTGTCAGTTAATTCCGGTTCTTTCTGAATGACTTTCAATTGGAAACCCAGCTTTGCCCGAAATTAAAGTCTAGTCGACCAAATCAACATAGCATTTTTAAACTCCATGATTAAGAACATTTCCATTGTTCTTTAAAATTTTAAGACAAATCTGACAACGGGTTCCTGAGTTATGATTGTACATAAAAACATAGATTTTACTACTTTATATACCTAACTTACTGTTTTACAGAATCTGAATTTTAACAACAACATGAAAAAATAAAAAGATTTCTTCAGAGAAAAATGGTGTTTTCTGTAAATTTTTAAATAGGTGATCACTACTATTTATTACTCATGGGTACTTCTTGGAAAAGGAACTGAGTTTTCGTCACAAGCTCTAATTTTTAATCCTTATATCTTTGCAACACAATGTCATAAACCTTTGATATTGTAAACTATGAAATTTGTTAGATAAAATAATCTAAGTTTGAAATATCAAAGCTTTACCACATCACGTTGCAAAGAAAAAGAATTTAGAACATTTGAGTTTGTGGCAACAAATCAATTCCTTTCATTTTAGACGTGTTATAAAGAACCAGAAACTGTCGAATGGGAAGACGACTTTGCAGCGAAACTGAAGTGCATTTCATGTATGTTACAAAGAAAATATTAACTCACTTGTCTAGTGAATTGGATCTGGTAACACTGCACAATTAATGTGTCTCATGTTCATGGGACTATTTAAAGTCATAACTTGCGTTTAAAAGTCGTCTTCTTATTCAAGAGTTTTCTGGTTCTAACTGTATATAATATAAAGTATAGGACAGCGCTCCATCTCGGGATGAAGAGAAAATTTCTGTCCAAAAAAAATGAAAATAAATTTGAAATTAACTTTATATTTTTGTTTCTTTTTTGTTTAAAAGCTTTTTTTTCTAAAAATAGACAATAAAACAAGAAAACAAACGTTTCATATAATTTTACCTATAACACTGTTATTTTGGCACGACGTGCTATAAAGTTTATGTACTTAAATTTTCTCTGTATCTCGAAGGTTCAAGCCTTTTTAGATTATATTTAGTCCCGAGCTTTTTGAACCTTCTCAATAAAGAGAAAATTTCTGTCCAAAAAGTTTATAAAACTGCAAACCAAAATAATAGAGAATAGTTTTTAACTAAATACTTACAAGTCTATTTTAAATTGTTTATGAGGTTGCACCAGATACGGGGTGGCTAGATACCAAAGTGTTACCCCTCCGATGAAAAATATTAATAAACCCTAAAAAAAGAAAATTCTATTATATGATTTAAAACTAAAACTGTTGCATTATGATAAGTTTTTCAAATCATTTAAACTTAAAAAAAATTTAAGCCTTTTTATAAAATTTTAGAGAAAAATAATGTTCTAAAGCTAGACATGCGATTTTTATGACTTCAGAGCTGAAAACTTCAGAATGAGATATCCTTAATCCCAATTACTTAATTTGACTCTGAGTATCCAATGGACACATTCTTAAATCGTTCTTCTTGGATATAGTAGAGAAAAATCAAAAACCGGTTTTTGAAATTTAAAGAGACCCTCCCGTTTCTGTATTTAATCTTAAATAACGCGCAAAATTTCAAATTTATCGGCTTCATATACGCGACTCTGATTGGTTGAATTTTATACACTTTTCAGGATACAAGTACGAGATTAAGTTAATCTCGTTATTAAGAAAAAGAGAGGATCAAGCATTAATCTCAATATTCACCATTCTAAAGTTTTCAGCTCATATTGCATATATATTTATATATATATATATATATATATATATATATATATATACATATCTTTTTATCATTTGAGAATTACATTTCTATTGGGTCAGAAAATTATGTGACCCAATTAATTCAAATTAAAAATGTTTTAAAAATATTTACCTTAGATATAATCACAGCTGTGGATTGACTAACTATTTGACTAGAGCCCATGTTTTTTATAAATCTGAAAAATATGTTTTTTATTCTAAAGTTATTTTTTTAATATACGAACAACAGCTTAAAAATCGTTTGCAATTAAGCAGAACCATTCTTTGAACCTGTTTATAATGCATTAACATCTGCTAATATTTCTTCATTGTACACTTGTAAACAAAAATTAAAATCGTGGATTTTCTAGTATTTTTGTGAATTTTCAAAATTTGAAAAATCTCAAGAAATTTCGAAGGTTTAAAAGTGGTACCAATTGAACATTTATCTAAAGAGCTATGGATTTCTTTTTTGATAGCTTCACATAATTTTGGCCTTTTTCACTAATATTTTGTCAAATACACATTTGATAGCTAAATGAAGAAATATATTTTTAAAAGAAAAAACTATTACGGATCACCTTAGCTTATGCCATGCTTAAAATGTATAACTTCTTTTAAAAATAAAAACAAAAACTTTGCAACTGAAATATTTATAAATGAAGAGATATTTAAAAATGAAGCACAAATGAAGACATGAATGACTTTTTTAATGAATGTATAGCAATTTTAATATATATATAACAATATATATCAATATATAATAATATTAAAACTGCAATGTTTGAATGACTGTAATCCTAGCTATACTGTATCAAGAACAATAGAAAATACAGATGTCTCTATTAAACACTAAAAAAATTAAACGTTTTGAGAAAAAATTCAGATTTTATAATCCCTATATTATTTAAACCCACGGATCTTTCATATTTAAAACTATGAATTCTGCTAGTTTTTAAACATTGAATAGATTTATTTGATAAAGTTAAGAGTCAGGGTTCTGGGAGATAAGAAATGTATACAATCTTATCTATTATACAGATATATATATATATTTGTAAATTTATATATCTAAACTATGGAAATAAATATTACTTCTAACACTAGTTGAAGTGCCCAGCGTTGCGTATAGAATTAAAGAAAAAACTTGAAAAATTTCAGCCATTTGGCCTTCTATAGCTAAAATATACATAAACAAATATACATTCAAATATATATATATATTCGAGAGAAGAGTTTTATTATATAGATTGTAACTAAAAACCTAATAAAATCGCAGATTTTGTGTTTTATCGGTAAATTTTTAAACATGAAAATGATTTTCTTTGATTAAAATTAGAAACAAAGCAAAATATTAATATCTACATATATAAATATGTAAAAGTATATAAATAAATCTAATTTTATATATTTTCATATATTCATAACTAGATAAATATATATACTTGAAATACAGGTTGCCATTCATATTACAATTAATTGTTTCAACACAATTAGGTAGATAAACTTGTTTTGAAAATTTTCTTAAACAAATTTGAAGATTTAAAACAAAATTAAATCATTTTAAGCTAAAATAATAAAAAAATGCACTTTTTCTAATAAAAAACCTTTTTTCAAGATTCATTGTTTTCAATAAAATATGAGTTTAGCGTATCTGTAACGCGTAATATGTACTCACTGTTCTGCGTAAACTCCATTTAGGGCGTGGCGTAGGGTGTGGCACTTGTTGGTGGTTATGTTATGATTGATATTTTCTTTAATTTATCACGTTTAAGAATATTATTATCTGAATTAATTGTATAAGTTGTAATATCTTCAATAAATATTATTAAAAAGGGATTTTTAAAAACTTTTAAAGATATTACTAGTTGACACTGTACAGTCTGATTGTGTATTAATACTTAAACAGTCTGACATGTGTACTGCATCTGTAAGTTTACTATATCTGCATGAATATTATATCTGATATGTGTACTGCTTCTTCATGTTTACTATATCTGCATGTTTACTATATCTGCATATAAGGCAAAGAAGAAACCCAAATTCCAACTGGTTACGAGTTATATAATGAAACTCCAGCAGCGGGTAAATTCGGAAATTTGAAAATTGCAAAAAAAACTTTTTTTATTGCTTTCAATAGTTAACTGTAAAATAATATTCTAGACATTTTTGTTGTGGTTGAGATTTTAAAATTTCCGAAATCTACTTTCGGCTTTCCAAGCAAACTAACTGCATTGGTAGACATACCTTACTCAGTTAATACCTCTGTATCTATCTATCCATCTTTCTATCTATATATCTATCTATCTATCCAGGACAGGTTGTATTGATATGATTTGTATTGAATAATCCCAACATAGGGTGAGCATGTAAAAATGCATATCACCCCGGACTAATCAGAGTTGGAGGCATTCGGTTTCTTCTCTTTCTTCTGCTTGAAATCACACGCGTTTTGGTTTTATATTTGAGAAATTTTTTTAGTTATGGATTTGTTTGTTTTACACTTTTCATTCAAAAAGAATTTGACTTTGACGACAAACATGTATTTAAGAAAAAAGGCTAAAAATGTATATAAGAAAAAAGGCTAAAATATTATGTCTAATAGGACAAATTGTGATCGAAAGTCACAGCTTTCTGGAATATTGACAGAACCGTTAAATCCATACTATGTATGTATTAGTATCAATCTAATTCTAGTGGCACTGTAAACCTGGAAGTAAAAAAGGAACAAAAGTGAGTGTTTTAGATGTATTTTGTAAACTAAAATTCATATAAACTGTAAAACTGTAAAATAGTATAAAATTGTACGGAAAAAAGTTTTTTAACATTCCTGGTATTCAGTGGCGTGACTAGAAATTTTGTGAGGGAGGGGCGAAATTTGATTTTGTAGGGTC